AAGGAAGGAAAGAAGGGTAAAACTTAAAGACAACACCTCAGCTTGCTCATGATCTAAGTAGAGATCTAAGTGCTGCCTCCACTTTCGATATCACCTAGAGGAAAATGAGGAAAACAGAAACAGGATCTGACCCCCATGACTGTTAGGTCCTGTGTTGCCTTTCCTAGCTCACAGGAGCTATTTGTTTAATGACTAGAGCATGAGGCAACACTCAGGGTTTTCCACATGCAATGCAAAGAGTAAGATGTGCTCATACACTCACCTTGCAGAATATCCCACACCCAGAGGCTTTCGCTTCTGCCTCCGTGGATCTCTCATTTGCTGATTGCCAGAGGGCTGGCCGTTCATCCAAGACTTCCGATTCTTCGCTTTCTGAGGGGAACGTCCCTCTCCACTCTTCTCCTCTCCTGTGCTTCCACTCTTTTTTCCTCTAAATGGGATATCCACCAAGCCCTGGCATTTAACCCGGGCTTTCTCCCAAGCATTGACAGAGTTTTCACCTTCAGATGTAGCAGGGAGGCTGGTAAATCCCAGCAAACGGAAGAACAGAGCCACTGAGACCTGGGCATCTCTAGCAGCATAGAGAACCTGCAGAAAAGCACAGAAATTAAGATACTGACAAACAGCAAATACTCCCAACATTATCAGTCTTTAGCAGAAGGTACAGTAAAACCAGAAGCTGGATTCATTTCCTTTTTAATTTTGCCAGTTGAGTGGCACTTTCATAACAACACCACATCCCACTACCTTGGGGTAGTGACTCCAGGAACTGCAAGGGACTGAAAATGTATTTAGGTCAGACATCCTCACATCCCACCAATCTCTCCTTCATAAAAAGTTCCCTTTTGGCACACTGGCTAAGAGTATTCGGCACGGTTTTTTGTCCTGTCACTCCCTCTGCTGGTCATTGCTTCTGCAGGCATGTGCAGCTTGACTAAAGAAACTGGGCAGTCGGGGAAAACTCAGTGCTCTAAAGAAGGTGAACAAGATTTCCAGGGTCTCTCTAATATTGTACTGACTGATACAGACTGAAGAAAATAATAAAAAGGTGAGGTTTTGGAAACACTTTTTCAAGGTATCTTGTCTCATAGATCTTTCAGGTCTAAAGGAAAACGGTAAAGAATCCAGGGAGAATAGCAGAAAATTATCTTAAAGGAAAAGGAGGGGAATGCCGGCAGTGAGTCTGAAATTAACTTTAGGCCCCGTCACACATAAAGGTTTGAGGAATAATTTGAAAAGGCTCAGATCTCCCTGTTGTAAAGCCTCTTTTGCAACTAAAAAGGTTACTTTTCTTCCCAAAACAGTAAGTTGAAGTGGGGAACACACCTGATCTTGTGTCAGTTCTTCTGCTTCCCAGTTGCTGCAACGCACATGAGGAGATTTATCAAGTGGGAAGTTCAGGACTTTTTCAGCTAAAGACTTAAGGCTAAGGCAGTTGTGAAGTAGATCCTTCCTTCAATTCAACAAAGAAAGTGAAACAAATATATTAAAAATGAAACTATACACTCATGCAAATTCAGATGGCCTCTGAAGAGAACCTGCGAGAACACAATGCACATGATGCATGACTCAAACAGCACACAGCTGCCTCTCAGCTTTACAGGCCCTCTCCCCCCCTCTACTAAAATGTCCTTTCTAGATTTAGGAATTATCTTGTGTCTGCAATATGCAAAGCAGGCAAGGCTGGGAGTTAGTAACATGTAAGGCTGAAGTGTTTGGCTCTGAACTACTCCCTTCTGAACTGAAGAGGCCCATCATTCAGTGATGGACCACTTGTCCTAGGGATTCATGACAAGCCCAAGAACCAGGAAGAATCCTGGCCACTGGAGACAAGAAGTCCATCCTCAGTGTTAAAAAGGAATCAATAGGTCAGAAAACATGTGGCTCACATCACTAACACCACACCCAGGCACACATATAATTGTACATTAAGAATATGTGCAAGTAAAACATCTTGTTTCAGGAAGAGTAAAAGATAAGAAAATGGCATCACAAGTGTAACCTTTCCATAAAAGAATTGTTATTAAAAGAGAAAATTTGAACTGGTTTATTTAGTAACATTTCAAGAAATCTTGAAATTCAACAGTTCCATTTACATGCCCTGTGCACATTTAACTCACACTTCTTGGCAGTGTATTCAAACATCTGCTAACACAGTGTTCATTCTTACTGCATTAAATCACTGTGCCTGGACTTCTTAAGAGCTGAAGCATGGTACACAGAGAAGTCCACAAAGGTATCAGTCTGGACACAATTAGCAAATGAAATCCTCATTAAGATTTCATTTCCCTTAAGATCACAGAATAGAAGCATGACAGGCTCTTGGGCTACAGCTATCAATGCCGATTTTCTAAAGCCACCCTAAGAATTGCAGACATACCAGCCTGATATCATTCAGCTTATGCAAGTCACCTAAGATACATTTCCAACTTTCCAACAAATGAGGACCTACCTCTGTGTTCAGGCACTTACCGCTGTCTCATGGCTAAATACCGGAGATCCATGCTCCCTTTGACGGGAAGACCATAATCATGAAGCAATTTGCAAGCATCTTCCCAGCATCCTACCCCAACTTTCAACACAGCACTATCTGCCATGATGTCCACCAGGGTCTTTGGAAGAGTCTGGCCACCGGCAACAAGCCTGGGCAACCGAACAAGAATGCAGAGGCCACTGGAAGAAGCCATCTGCAACAGGGATACAGGATTTGCTTTTCCCTCCACAGATACCTGTAATGAAATAAAAAATGAGAGTCCGGGTTATTGTATTATTAGTAATACCAGACCTGAAGCAAATTACAAAAAAAACCACCGAAAGCAGGAAATACTTATCAGTTTACACAGTAAAGTATTGTTACATGTCTCTAAAAATTCATGGCAAATTGTGTGGTCTTTTTCACAGTGTTACTGTGCCCAAGCTACTTCTTGCCACATTCCCACATGACAATCTTTCCCCCTTTCACCCTTCCCCTTCATAGCTGAGCTGGTAGAAGAAACCAGAAACATTACTGAATCCACATCAACACAAAGCCACCCACTATATGAATGTGTATGGCAAATATATTGCTTAGCTGTGGCTTATACTAACTCACTGTGGGGTGAGTAAATTTCCAGTAAAAACAATGCCAAAGCCAGGCTTTATAAATTACTTAAAGCCTGTTTGAGATATCACACATACCAATGTACAAGCAGAAGAGGAACTTTGTTTTCTGGTTGTCCCAGTGAATTTTATCTATGTATCAGCATTATCCTCCTTTTCGGACTTAACATTTTTAAGATATTGTTTCTTGAATACGTAGCTAGATTTAAAATAGCGTAAGCCAAGCTACTTTCTAGTAAATCACTTTTAAAGAGATATTACACAAAACACATAATGCTATATTTAGCCATACAACTGTTACTATATTTAGTAAAGTCGACTTATGATGGAACTCAGGAAAAAAATACATCTGGTGAATCAAAAACTTAGCATATTTAAACGTAAGAAGAATCAAAATTAGCATCTGCTTCACTGCCATCATGACAGACAATCACAGTTTCAATAGTCAACACACCGTGGTATCTGTTTAAGCAAAGAAATTGCTCCACCTTCAATGATTTCCCCATGCAATTTGCAATCTAAAGGAAGGAGAGGCGCTTCTTGATCACTCACCCATTCACAATCAATTCCAAGAACCGGCCACTTCTCCAGCTCCTTCTTCAGCAATGGTTCAGCATGGTCCCACTCCTCCTGCTCTGAAACTATCACTATGTCTGCACCAAGGGTCTTCTCTATCCAGCAAAAGGTGGGAGATCTGAAGAAGGAAAGCACCTTCTTATCCTCTGCTTTAATGAGTTTCTCATCTCCTGACTTTCCTGCTGCTTCCTCTTGCTGACTGCTACAGCGTGTTTTTCCTTTCCGATGCTGGGTCGCTTTCCACAAAACCAGGCCCCCCAGTGCAACACCCAGCAGGGTCGCCAAAGTAATCGTCACGGCTGTCTGCTTGGCCATTTTTTATTGCCCTTTCTCCCTCTTCACCTCATCCTCTCAAAACAGCATTGTGGGATTTCATCATGCCTGCAGTGAAAAATAAGAGAAGAAGAAATTAAAGACAACATTAAAAAAATGTGTTTAGAGATATTAAACACATGCAATGCTATCACAATAAGGTTCTAGCCATAACTTGTAATCCTGACAGAAAAAAGTTCCGGGTCCCACTTTGATAGACTGGGGGCCTGGGGACAGACTGCTGCAGTGATGGATTGGGCAGGAAGAGGAGACTGAACGCTGCTGTCGATCACACCACTAAAAACTTTAAAGGGAATCGATTCAATTAAACTGGCGCAACTTCCACAAACTCTGCTATTCCAAAAATAACCTAGTCACAGTTATTATCAACATCTTTTAGTTCAGTTTGTAACTAGATCAACCTAAACAAGGCCAAAATGAAATTGCTGCAGAATAAGCATGTCCGTTCACGCATTAGTAAATAACAGGCATTTATTTGTCCATCACATTCACATCCATACTAGGGTCAAATGGTCTTTGGGCACTGAAAAGCCCTAAAACAGCAGCATCTTGTTTAGCTGTCCCTCTATCATATAGAAGCTTAGTACCCCTTCGACAAACTGAAATCAGTCCTGCTCCTCCATCCCAGCCCATCACATTGTTTCTAAAGGGCTGTCCTTGCGCTCGCTTCCCCACAAGGAGAAGTTCGGGTGTCGATGCTACTCCAGCATCGATGCGGCACAGCCGCTCCCAGCACCCCAGCACGGCCCAGGGACCTGCCCGAGCACCCCCGAAGCAACAGGCGGTCCGCGGCCACCCCGTAAACTGAGTGCCAGCACCGGGGACAACGAGCCCGCCCGCAGCCCTCTCCCTCGGTCCAACAGCCACTGCCCCTCAGGGAACCGGGGGTGCCTGTAATCCTTGTGCGGGTCCCTCGCCGGGGCAGGAGAAGCCCCGGTAAGACGCCCCGGCCCCCGCTCAGCCCCGGCGGCAGCGGCGCGCCGAGGCCCGGGGGCGGGCCCGGGATCCCAGCCGAGCGCTCCTCCGGGCCGCTGCCAGGCCCGCCGGGATGGGGCAGGCGGGGGCGTCCGCGGCTCCCCTCGGCATCAGGGGGAACGCGCTACCCGCTTTAGGTTCGGTCGCAGTTATCTACCCCGGGAAGAGGCCCGAACGCCAGGAGTGAGCATGCGGGAGGCCGCGGGCGCACCGGACCGCGCACCGGCGCACCTGCAGCCGCAGCCTCGGCCTCTCCGGGATGCGCGCAGCAGCCTCTCCCCCGCGCCCGGGCCCGCCGCCCGCCCGCGGCCTCGCCGAGCGCCCACCGATCCGCCCGCTCCCTGCGTCCCGCCGAACGGCTGCGTCCGGCCGCAGGAACGCCCCGCGGGGCAGTCGCCACACACACCGGGAGCCTTAGAGCGGCGGACGCTTCCTCTGTGCCGGCGGTGCGAGTGGGCGGCGGGCGCCGCCATGTTGTACGGCAGCTAGCAGCGGGGCGGCTGGGCAGGCGCCAGCGTGCCTTCAGACGGGCAAAATGCTGGCAGGAACACTGAAAAGCCGGCTCTTTTCAAAGCGGGTTTTTGGAGTGAAATGTGCAGTGTGTTGTCTGCGACTAGGGAGGGCTTGAGCAGCGAGCCGCAGCGGGCTGGGGTGAAGTCACCCACACGCAGAGCACCGCGAAACCCCTGGGGCAGGAGGGACCAGATAGAGTGGGAAGTAAAGAACAAAGGCAGCCGGGAAAATAAATAGCGAATCGCAGCCACCTCCAAAGTGGCAAACTGGAAGAAAACAAAGACGGAACAAATCAAATGGAGACCGTTAAGAAATTAACAGAGGAACATGTCACTTAATCATGACAAATGATTGTTCCCCCGTGTGTATGGAGAAATAGGAATGTTAGAAGAGTGACACCATAAAACCTGAACAGTGAGTGTACAGGCAGATGCTGTCTCCAGAGTTACGATCGTCAAGGTTTGAGGTCATCCCTGTTAAAAAGCAAACGAGTTTCCAGCCCAAATTCCATTCCAAATGAGAGGATCTGAGCACCCAATTTCTTCAAATTCCTTTGCAATTCTCAGTAGCTCCCAGATTTTGTGCTGTTAGCTTTCCGCCAAGCTGTATCTATTTAAAGTAGAGACTGAACCCACAAAAAATACTGTGCTAATTCAATTTAACGGCACCAAACTCTGTTTTGTTTTAACTTTGCCACTTGTCATCACAGTAGGAGGATCTCCCTAGCAGAGATTTGGTATTTAGCAGACCTGTTGTCAAAAGAGTGCAACAGAGAAGCTAATGGTTAGCACTGGCAAAAATATTCTATAGAAGCAGTATTTTTCTCAGTCTGTAACTCATCTTTATTTTCCCCCTTCTTTTTTTTCTTAATTCAGGAATGAGGTACTCAGACATCCTGACAGCTCACAAGGAAAACAGGTGATTTTCAGAACACTTTTCTGAGCAAATAAGGCCCTCTCCTTATCAGAAATAAGATGTCAAGGCTATTAAAGGTTAAGCAGCTACTTGTTCTAATGACCTGATCTATGCCAGCATGGTGTGGCTGTATCAGGTCTCATTGGTGCTGGGGTAGGATCAGAGTTTTGTTTTCCGTTGACTTCCATCCGTATTTTGAATGTACAAATACAAAATGTACAAATTCAAAATTCCAATGTACAAATACAAAAACATAAGTGTTTCTGCAAAGCCTCTCAGTCTTGCTCTACAGTGATGAGACATGGATCCATTTTTGTATTAATTCGCGGAGTTACGAAGCATTGCAATCTCACTGCAGTAACTCACACCTTGTCTGTGCCTCATTCTGCTCTAGAGGGAAGGTCTGCATCTCCCTTTCAGTCACAGCCTGGCCCCAGCTTCTCCATCCATTCCTGTGCTCTGATGCACGAGGCACAGCTGACCAGCTGAATTGCAGGTCACCATGCAGGAGCCAGCACGACTCTGAAGCTGCTCACATGACTTGTGCTCAGGAGAAAGGTGCATCATGTGCATGCTCAGGAGAGAAAGCTGGAGGGCTCTGGCAGTACCTGAGTTCCCACAGTCAGATGGACTGCCTGTTTCTCTCCCTCTCTCTTCCCTTCACACATATCCCTTAAGGTATAGTGCTTTATTTTGCATGGTCACTGGAATCTAGCATAAACCTGGATTGCCACTTGCATGGACAGTCTCACCTTTCCTGTTGTGCCTGTGACTGACTGCTCACTCCCTGTTCCCTTGCTCCAACACCCACATATCTCTAATGACAGGGTCAGAAAATCATGGAACTGATCCATCTGTAAACTAGTTCAAGGACAAAAGGTAACACCTGGGGCCACAACAGACATTTCAGGGCCCAAGTGATTGGAAAGAGAACCAAGATGATGCAGCTGGGCTCCGGGATCCAGCTGCCCTACTGTGGGGTAGGCAAGGCATCCTTAAGACAGCTCTGTCAGAGCTCAAGATAAGCACAAAATACTGAACAAATCTGCAAATAAATTGTTTATTTTCATTTGTAAAGTAATAGAAGCATAAAGTTACAATGGAGAAAAATTAAAATACCCCAATATTTATTTTATATAAAAGAAATAATATTTCTATAAAATAATTTTTATTTTATTACACAGTGAAAACCTCACAGAGAGAGAAGATGCTAGCTTTTCTCCAAGTAAAAGGAATGTATCCCTGGTTGCATTTAAAGCCTTTATTTTTCATGGCATCACTGATATTACAGTGTCCTGTAAGCCACAAGTCTTTTTAACACCTTGTCTTAATAGTCATTTATTCAAGTATAAAGATTAAATTAAAAATAAGTGAAAGCAACTGTTGCATGAAGGCACTCTGGCAAAAAACCAAACCAAAATCAAACCAAACCCAAAAAAAACAAACCAACCACCCAAAAAACACCCAAACCCAAACCAAACCAAAAAAAAAACAACCAACCAAAAAAAAAAAAAAAAGCCAAACCAAAACCAAACAAACCAAAAGTTCCCAAAACCTGATAGGGACATTGCTGAAGATGACAAGATAACCAAGTAAGTAAACACCAAATGCTGGCTTAGCCTTATAAGAAATCTGTTACAGCAGGTAAAGGGAAGCCTTTATATGGTAAACAGCAACATTTACTTTTCTGTGTCTGTAGCCTGATGTGAGGTCTCTGTCAAAAGAATAATTTTTAGCCTGATTTCCTAAGGAAAGAAGGGTTATGAAATTACTCTATGTTGGTGTTTCTGCCTCTGGGTCCCATTACTTCCCCCACTTTCCTTGCCAAAAAAGCATGTTTAAACCATTGCTAAATTCCTTCTAAATTTGTACAAAGGTAACAAGTGAAATGCAAAGCCAAATGGATGAAAAAGGTCCTAATAAAGCTGTCACTGATAAAATGGTAAGCATGCGCAGACGCTGCTTAGTATACATATGAGAATCCACAGAGCAGTACCACATCAGGACAAATCCATAGGAAACCAGGCTTCACTTGTTCTGCTGATCACAGAAAAAATAATTATTTTTATAATGACATTAGCTCATCCTTTAGGAGGGAGACGACTAGGGTAAACACTGAGTCAGTGTTCAAAGGAAAATCAATGATCGTGGAATATCAAAGGAGAGAGGCTCCAGTGAAGACTTAAATTGCTGGTAGCAGACAATGAGCAGAGAGCTCCATGTAGTCCCCACTAGCTCATTAATAACACTCTCTTTGGGGCCCCATCCCAAGCAACAGAAAAAAGCCAAACTCCCATTTCAACTTCGAATGTGATTTATCTTCCTTCTGTCGATGCTGGTAACACCATGACTATATATGCAAACAAGCCATTTTGAGCAGGGTTTGTTTTAACAGGGTTGATACCAGGAAGGCAGTAGGGTTTCTTTCCTCAAGAAGTCAGAATGAGAGCAGTTTCAATCAACTGTGAAGCCCCATCCTAAAGATGGAGTCTTGTATTGCAACCAGGTGGATAGAAGGTTTAGCTTCTGTTCAAAAGGCAATTCTGCTTCCCCCTTCTCCCTGTCAGCATTCTTCTCCAGCCTCAATTCTGCAAATACTGGTGACTGCTTGATTCAAGGAATTAAGTGAGCAGAAAGCCAGCACAGCAAAAGACTGGGTTTTCTTCTGGTTTAAACTCCTTGTACTAACCCATCATACAGCCAGATCTCAGTGAAGCTACGTCTTAGGCCAAAAGATGAGTCAGTGGTAGCTCACTGAAGGGATCTGCAGGTTTTGCAAAGAATCTGAAAAATCTCAGAAGTGTAAAATGCCAGATAATCCCATGAGGATGAGTTGTATTAACATCAATCATCATCATCAATGCATTTCTCCCTTAATTGCCAACTCTTTTCATTACTTATATAGAAAGAGAGATTAATTTCACAGTTCCATTTCTTGAAGAGCTTACCCCAGTAGTTCAGTCCAGAAGGCACACTGAGTCAGCCTTACTGTTTATTGCAGCTAAGAATATGACATCCCCCATCTCCAAAACTCATCTCCCAGCTGGGCACTCCAGACTAGTTTTGTGCTGATTTTGGCACTCATTGGGACGCTTCCATGAGCCAAATAAACACATGGCAGACAAGCATGTCCAGTAAGTAGCAGCATCGGCACAAAGAAAGGGACAGAACACAGTGCCACAAAAAAATAAAGCCACCTTTAAGTGACCACAAATCATTAGATTGGCTTAGCTGCATGTTAAACCTACATAGCAGAACAGCAAGGGGAGACATTTGAGAAAAAAAGTCCTAGTTTTTCCTACCTTTCTGGTCTATTGAAGTAAGCAAAGGGAGAAAAGCCCAGAAGCCACCAAATTGTTACTAGAGGGAATAAATTACACAAGCAAAATTATTTTTAAAAAATGATGGGGCTAAAATATGATGTAGTCTTCTTGGTTTACCTTTCTTTCTATTGCCCCTTGAAAATAAAAAATATTGGTATAAATAAACAAATGAATAAAAGCCTTGACTCAGCTTCACTTTCCTAGTTAGGCATTCACTCTCTCTGACTCACTCCACAGACATCCAACTATCAGTGTCCAAACTTCTCAGTTTCCACTCTGGATTAACCAAAGCAAATCAAAGGTTCAACAGAACCCCAAAAAGAGTATTTAAATCTCATCCTTTCTTGCCTGACACAATCATCATGCTTCACTTAAATCCTTGGTCTTCTGTTACCCTCATACATTATCTCTGAGTTAGCTCTGGGGAAAGAAGCAGATCCATAAATCATCTGCAGAGAGATATTAATTTATTTGTATTTCAGATGAGATACCTCCCCCTGTCCAAACTCAAAACATAGTCTTCTCTCTTCTGTGAATGACTAGCAGGAAATTAGAGCTCAGCAGAGCTAGAACTCTTCCCTGAAAGCCCTCTTATTATCTTCTTTGTGAGTGTCTGTGGATAGCATCACCAGTTTACCTGCCACTCAAGCTTGTTTGTCAGCTGTCAGGTCTGACTGAAATGTCTTTGTAGATCCTAGAACCCAGGGTATATACCAGTTTGGCAGCTCCAAAACATCCTTGCAGCTAAGACCCTTGTTCTCCTGTTGATATACAAAGACTGCCCTAATACCTCTCCCTCCAGTATTAACCAAAACAGCTCCTAACACAACAGCCATTGACCAGTGGAAATGCCACAGAGCAAAGCTGACTGTAGGCCTCCTATTAATGATCAAATACACCCCAGCTATCAAATGGAAACAATGAATGCAATTTAACTGATTCTCCTAATTCAAATTTGTTCAGAAAAATGTTGAAGGGATAACTTTGTAGACAATAAGCACCAATCAGTTATTGTCAGTCCTTCCAGAGGCAGAACAAAAAATCTGTAGCATGAACAGAAGCTAATATGAGTGTAATGTGACACCATGGCCATACCTCATACAGATCAATTTAGTACTTCTGAGAGACTGAGCTCTGCACAAACTTGGAATTAACAACTCTGAAACTGCAACCCAAGATTTTTTACATATATCATTAACCACATAACTTTTCTATTTTAGGAATTCTCCTAGTTCCCTCTTCTCTATTGCATCAAACATTATTTACTTACCTTCATTTCCAAGGGCATCTACAAGTCATCCTCCTGTTCATTATCTCCCATTTCCTTTCCAGTTGACTCCTCCACTCTGTTGCCTACTTGTTGAAATTCCAGACAAAACATTTGTTGTGCTTGATTTCATGCTGTTTTTGAGACATGGAGGAGACTATGAACATGCTACAGAATTAAGCAGCTCAAGCAGTGCGTGCAGACAGACTCTGGCTTCCTGTGCCCTTTGAGTCTGGCCAGGCTCACTCCAATTTGGTCTGTGACAACCAGTCACTGTACAGCACCAATTTGTTTGGTGACAACCAGTCTCAGTACAGCACCCCCATGCTAACATGTCCCCCAGAACAGCAACTCAATGAAGTTTGATCTGTTTGACTAACTCCTGTCAGTACATCGATTTCATTGCAAGCTGCAGAATGTTCCTGTTAAAGGAGACAAAGATGCTTCACTGATGCTACTTCAGAATGACTCAGGACAACAGTCTATGTGCTTTGGAGAGATAACAGCACTCTGGCTTTATTAACATAGACATCAGTCATTTTCCAAGGAAGATATCACCTTGTATAGGCTATGGTAACTTCCTTAGGTGTTATATTCAAAATTAATTCAAAGAAAGGAAAAAAGAGAGTGAAAAGAATGCTTACCAGTACAGTTTTTTAACCTATATGGTCATGTCATTGAGCAGAACAGATTGACAGTCTGCTATTATTTTTCTTTTAAATTCTGACTGCTTAGAAATGTGATTTTAAAAACACCACAAAAACAAACAAGCAGAAAAACCCTAACAAAACAAAACAAAACCAAACTCACTTAAATCTTTCTTAAAAATCCTGAACCGGGGGCTTAGGAAATAGTTTTATTTCTATGCAAAATCATTTAAGTACACAGCTTTCCTAGAGACTGGATCCAGAATGGGGAGTAAAAGCAACGGAGATTTTATTATATTGCATATTTCTTTCAGTACAGAAACCAAAGGTACTCAGATATTCGACCTGAACAATACTTTAGGAAAGGGGGAAAAGTGAAATCTTGCTGAGTGAGCAACAATTTCTGATATAATTGTAATAGTGCAGAATGTCATGGCATGCAAGGAACAAAGACATGAAATGTGATTTTATAGCAATGTCTGAAGCTTACCTGTGTCTGAAGCTAAGGTAATAAACACAAACTATGATGGACAGTGTCTTTGCCTCTCTATAGTGAGGGTGGCTAGGCATGCTACATGGCAGTAGTTGGCCATCAACAACTGTAACTAGAAAACATCCTTAAGTATGGTTCAGATTAGAAGAGATTAACTGTTTTGTTTTCACTTCAGTTGTGAAGCATTGTTAATTGTTAATGTTAACACTGTTAATGTAACTTCTTACATTCTTTTTTTATTCCCAATTAGAAGAGAAAGTTTTTTATTTACTTTTGTTATGTGTTAAAATTAAGGCTATAGTGTTGTCAAATAAAAAGCTTGGTCTATGCGGGGTTTAATGCTCTTTCTATAATCTTAACCAAGAAGAAACCCAAAGCACTTAAGTGACTTTTTATAATGAAATAATTTCTATTTCTATGGAAAAGCTGTCACCGGAATATGGCAGCAGTCTAAGAGTACTCAGTCATCTTGCCACATCACAGTTTATGTCAGGGAGGGTTTTCCCCACTGCTTATTTTAAAGTTTCAAGACTCCTAATTCCCAGCAGATGCAGTGCTACACAAAGATGGCCAGGATGGTCAGGCTAATTCCTCTCACCTTCTGAAAACTGTATCTTCCCTATTTGCCATGGGGAAATATAGACCTGAAAGTCCCAAGCTGCTCATTTTGTGCACAGGCAGCATGCAGTCAGCTGCAAGGTGGGACTGGGGGTCTGTGCAGCACCTCTGGGACATCACCCTTTGAATGACACTCCTGTTGCCTGACATGGTATCAGATGTTACCTGAGAAGTACAGGGTCCTGTGAAAGAGAAAAGATATTCTTATTCCAGTAAGGTAAAGGTTGGGGTATTGTTAAACAGTGAAGGACAACACAGGTCACTTCCACCTGGTTAGCCAGTTGCGTTTTAGGGGTTAGTTGACACTGCAGGATAAGAGAAGAAAATTTATCGGTACTTTGAGCAGTCTTCCAAGGGCTGCAGAAAGGTCTACTGACTCACTTGAGATGGGGCAGCCCTCCTGTTTTCAGTGTTGCTCGGGAAGGAGCAGCAGAAAGCAAGCTATGAAACCCATAATAACTATAATAGAGAAAACAACTACCACAACAACAACAACAAAAAAACCCTTCAAACTAAATTCTAAAGCCATAATGCTTTGAATTCCCGTAGAAATCACTCAGCATTTATAGAGGACAAGCCCCACTGTAAACAGCCCCCGCACTTGAGTTGTTTTTCCCC